CTTCAGAGTAGTCAACTTATCAGGGGCTATATATACTCTTAGAGAAAACTGTCACTCCTATCCCAGAAGCAGCTCCTCGGCTAGGGGTGGGGTTTTATGCCCATCTCACCTATGCATGCTGGAATTTGGTCTGACTTGGGCTTTCACAGGTCTTGTGCAAGCTGTTACAACCGTGGTGAGTTCATATGTGCAGCTGTCCTGCTGCGTCAATCGCCTCTAGCTCTCACAGCCATTCTACCTCCGTCTGCAATGGTCCCTGAACCTTGGCAGGGGTTGTGTGATATAGAAGTTCCTTTTAGGCCTGCACACTTTGCAGTCTCTTATTTTCTGCACTTTGGTCAGTTGTAGGTAACTTTGTTAATCATCATCTACTGCAAATGGCAGCTTCTCAGAGGAGGGTTGAAAGACCCTGATCTATGAATGGAGATTCATCAGGAGTTGGTTTAATACTATGTCAGCACAGCAGTATTTAACAGTAGTAAGTCCTACCATAGGACCTAGGACTTGTCTAGCCGCAGGTTCTTAGACATGTAATGGTGCCAGGTGTGGGTTTCAAATTGTGGAACTGGACTTAAATCCAACCAGAAAGTGTTTGATTACTCCCATGCTTGTTTATTTAATATCTATCTTTGAAGTCTGGACTTGCTAAGAATATCAAGCTGGCCTGGAATTCACAAATTCATAGAGCATGTGTTCAGTGTTAGGCAAGTAGTCTTAACTGAGTTATGTGCTATCTGCAGCCCCTGTTCTTGTGAATGTTGTCTTTCTCAACCCCTTGGCCTATGCACCAAGAGTGCTCAACCTGTGAAGACAGCAAAGGGTGCTGGAGAGGAGCCCTTCTGTGGTGAGAAGGGCTCTTGGGAAGGACCTGCTTAGGTACCAGGGAAGGGACTGGTTAGCCGCTGCCTCTTCCATGTTAGACTGAACTGTCTGCACCCTCTCTCTGACACCCATCCACCCCCAGTTTAGAATGGATAATGTTTTTCTTCATAACTGCAAGGATTTTGTGGAGGGAGGTTTGGAGACAACATTCTATTACCAAAATGGACTACCTTCTCTACGAGGTCAGTTTCCTGCTTCCCTTCTTTTCTCCTAATTACAAGTTTTCAATTTTGTTCTGTGTTTCTGCATCGTCTTCTACTTTCAGTTCATCACACCAGCTCATAAGAGTGCAACCATGAGAGTGACAGCTGGAAGGACCTGGGAAGAGAGGCAGGTCTACCAGGACGGGGATGAGCCCCGGGCATTGCCGCTTCTGGGATGGAAGAGAAGTACATATCAGAAAAGGACAGTGAAGCCAAGCAGAAGCCAAGGCCTGAGGATGGAGGTCAGGCAAGGAGACCTCCATTCTATAGCTCCGGAAGCAGATGGGTATCTGTTAAACTGCAGGGAAGTTATGGTCTTCTTCATTTGCCAGTGGAAGACATCTGAGTCCTGTGTTGGGACAGTAATGCAGACATTGCTAAGAATTGTTGCTACTTTGGTTCTAGGATGATACAGACACAGTGGTGTGGAATGGCTACCCAGATTAGTGCTTACTTCTCAAGCTCAAAGCTGTCTATCCACCCTACAAGGTGACAGTAGGGACAGATCAGTTCTGGATGGTAACTGATGCTCACACTACTGGTTCTTAGGTCAAGCATGAAGTTTAGAGAGCTCAGAGGGCAGGCTGCCAGGTGGAGATGGCCCGAAGCCCAGCCTGAAAGAACCTGAGATACACAGGGGCATTGCCAGGGTTTAGAAAGCTGCAACAGCATTTACCCAGCATGCACAAGGACCTGGGGTCCATTCCAAGAGCCTTGCGTGGGAGTGAAGGAGGGGTAGATTTTAGATACCAGCATTTCTTTCGTGCTGCACTCCATTCAGACTCTCTTCCCTGAGCCCTGTCTGCAGCTACCTGACTTCCCCCGCCTTTGCTGTTGTGTGATATCACCTTTCCCCTGAGGGAAATTTGTGTTCTTTTGATTATGCCAACTATGGATACCTGAAGATTTATTATAACTAAAACAAGGAGCCATCTTTATATTGTTTCAAAATAATCATGGCTTTTTAAATCTTGTGTGTGGTGGTGGCTCACACCTTTAGTCCCAGCACTGGGGAGGCAGAGGCAGGCAATTCTACAAAAGTTCAAGGCCAGCCTGGTCTTGAAAAAAATAAAAGCTAGTTCCAAGACAGCCTTTCTTGAAAAAACAAAAGTATGAAAAAAATTATTTTCAATTAAGAAAAAAAAAAAAAAAAGAAAAAGAAAAAGAGGGATGACAAGGACATAAATACCTGATCAGGGCATGGCACTAGGGAGACTGAGGCAGGACCACCAGTTAGGCTAGCCTGGGCTATATAGTGAGTTCAAGCCCAGTTGGGCCACCAAAAAAAACTTGTTTTGAAACAACAACAAAACCACCCTGAAAACAAGTAGCAATAATTTAAATTTTTTATTTATCTTTATTTTATTGTTTTGAGAGGTCTTACCCCATAGCCCTGGATGGCCTAGGACTTACTATGTAGACCAGGTTGACTTTAAAAGTTGCAAAGATCTGTCTGCCTCTACCCTTCTAATGCTGGGATTAAACTTGTATGCTACCAGGCATAGCCGAAATATTTTAATTAAAAAAAATGTTTGAAATAAGGCCTCATGTAGGACAAGCTAGCCTTAAACTTGCCATGTAGTCAAGGGCGTCCTCAGACACCTTATCTTCTTCACATTGCACATCCTGGTAAGTTTTCTTTTGGGCATTTGTGTTTGTGTGTGGTGGTGGTGGAGTCATGTGTACATGAATGTGTGTGTGTGTGTGTGTGTACATGTGTGTTCCCATGTGTGCCAAGGCATGCATGTGGAAACCAGAGGATCACTTGAGAGAGTCGGTTCTCTCTTTCCACTGTGTTGATCCTAGCAATGAAATTCATGATGCTGGGCTTGCCAGCAAATGCCTTTACCTGATGAGCTATCTTGTTAGCACCCCTCTTCTGAACATTTTCAAATGACCATTTGAAATAGTTTTCTCCCTGATCACAATGTCCATGATAGAGATGCTTATGATTTGTATGATGCTGGGTAAGGGAATGGGTTTCTTAAAAAAAGAGGAAGAAAGAAATGGAAATGTGGGCCTGGTCCTCACAGAAGTCACAAGAGTGTGTTGGAATTCCTAGAGCTGGAGTTTACAGGTAACTGTGGGTTATGAGAGTTGGGAATTGAACCCAGGCTGTCTGTGAGAACAGTTCAACCACTAAGCAATCTCTCCTGGTTTCTAATTTTAAATTACCTCCATTTAATGTAGACTTTGAATATATGCAAAAAAGGTGCTAAGACAAAACAAAAGAGAGACAGCATGGGTGTGGGCTTCTCAAGTAACAGTAACTGTAGCTATAGGAGAGCCAGTATCCTCTTCTGACTTCTGTGGGCACCAGGCATACATGCAGTATACACACATGCAGGCAAAACACTCTTCTTCATAAAATGGATTACAAATAAACAAAAAACAAAACAAGGGACTGCAGAGATGGCTCTTCCTGAGGATCCAAGTTCTGTTTCCAGCATCCACACAAGAAATCTCTGACACCCTCTTTTCTTCTGGCCTCTATGGGCACCTGCACACATGTAGCACACACGCATACACATTCACAAATAACTTTTTTTTTTTTTTTTTTTTTTTTTTTTTTTTTGGTTTTAAAGACAGGCTTGGCTTGTAACCTTGGCTACAGAAAAATAACCAGGCCAGGTGTGGAGGCACATGCCTTTAATCCCAGCACTCAGAAGGCAGAGGCAGGCAGATCTCTGTGAGTTTGAGGCCAGCCTGATCCATACAAAGTGAGTTCTGTAACAGCCAGAGCTACACAGAGACACCCAGTGTCTTGAAAAACTAAAAGCCAACCAAACAAACAAATATAACTTAAAATTGTTTGCTTATGGCTCCTTTTCCTCACTGGCCACTCTTGTAAGTCAGAAGTGGTTCTTTTAGAGCATTACAGTGATGTCTAAATAGAAATACACTAGATAGAAATACAAGGATGTTCAGAGTTGCAAAAAGATGGCTGTAGTTTTTTCTTTCCATCTCCAAAGTTTATTACTGGATTTGAAATTATTAGAACTTTTATTTGCTTCTACTGTTATAGTAGAAATAGGTGTCATGGAGAGAAACAGTTAATAGAAACATCAAGACTTGGAATGGAGCTACTACTAGGAAGAATCTCTATGTCTCTCTTTCCCTCTCCTCTGAGACAAGGTCTTACATAGCTGGCACTGTCCTCAAACTTACTGAATAACAAAAGCAGAAGGTGACCTTGAATTTGTGCTTTTCCTGTCTCTTACTCATAATTGCTAGCATTCTACGTGTTTGTATGTGGTTCTGGGGCTTAGGATTCTGCTGCCAATTGAGCTATAAGTCCCCATTCCTAAAGTTTTGAAACAGGGTCTTGCATATGAAGCCCAAACTGACCTCAAATTCACTGGCAGTCATGTTGAACTGCTCATCCTTCTGCATCCACCTCCTGAAGCCATGAGTACAGACCTGCATCACCACACCCATTTTTATGTTGCTCTATACCCTGCTGGAGAAATGGCTCAGTGGTTAAGAGCACTTGCTACTACTCTTCCAGAGGACCTGAGTTCCATACCCACATAGACCCTCACAACTGCCTATAACTTCAGCTCCAGGAGGTGTGACACAGTCTTCTGACCTCTGTAGGTACCTCCTTCACACACATGAAAATACTCATACCCACACCTCAACCCCCCCCCCACACACACACATAAAAATAAATCTTTTTCAAGGTCAGAGACTGGCTGTAGTGGGTGTAGTGGCATACATCTTAGTAGTTACCTGGTCTACAAACCAAATTACAAGGCAGCCAGGACTGTTACAGAGAGAAACCCTGTTTGGAAAAAATCAACAACAAAAACAAACTGGCTCTAGGCACCCCAGACATGAGGGAAAGAAATAAGGAAAACAATATTTGGGGGTTAGTATGCAATCTTGACAATCCTTACTTTATTCAGCATGTCACTATACATACTTTCCATAAATTTTTTCTCTCAGGGGTGAGGAACCCTTTACCTTCAAGGTGGGCCTTGTAATCTGCTGGTAGGCAGGAGGGGTCTTCTTGGCCACTATGATCTCATCTACACTCACCAGCTGCTGCACCAGCTCAGCGACTGCTTGCAGTCCTTGGGCTTTGGCCCTCAGGATGTCCCATATCCCTTCCTGGGCCACATTTATTATCCCATCTGTTCCCACTCCAATGAGGAAGTTCCCAACTTGGTGAATTCCACTCATTTCTGCCATCACACTTTGGGTAGCTAAGCCAGCATTTTCTGCCAAGGTTTTAGGCAGAGTACTCAGGGCCTGGGCAAATGCCAGGAAGGCCAGACCATTGGGGCCTGCCAGTCGGCTTCCTTTGTCCGTCAGCATTTTTGCTAGAGCCATTTCTGTGGCACCAGCTCCTGGTAGCAGTCTGGGATCTTGACACAACTGGTAAAATGCATCAATGCCATAGTAGACAGCCTGCTCTGCACCCCGAAGTCCCTGGATGGTGGGCCCCCTAAGGATCACGGTGAGAGATGGAGCACTCTCAGGTTCCCACTCAAACACTACCACCATGCCGTCTTCCAACTCCTGCCTATAAACCTTCTGGCACCTCCCAGGCTCCAGGGGAGGCAGCAGGCGAGTCAGCAGAGGAGTACCCATCATCTCACTCAGGTAGACCATCTCCTTTCGGGAATTGGCTTGAATCACCATGATGCCACAGTTGTCAGCCTGGACTACCATCTTCTCATTAACCTCCCCCCATACCACCGCCACATTAATTTCCATAGAGGCCAGGTGGGTTATTTCCTTTTGCACTTGGTCAGTTTGTTTCAGAAATCTTAGTAGCTCTTCCGGGCTGGAGAGACGGGGTGTGGCCAATGAAAATGAATCTGTAGGACCAAAGGGGCAAATGAATAGGGCCACCCTGGCATCAACTAGTACCTCAGTTATTTGTCCACAGGGCTTTCCAGATATTGCTAACCCCGGGAGAATGCGAGAATCAGTCAGTGTCCCACCCTGCAGAGTGCACACCCCAATACGCTCAGGCTTGAAGCTGCCATTTGGCTCCCTGCTAACCCAGCACACGTGAGCCACAAGCTTGGTTAAATACTCTATGTCAGACAGCATGTGGGTGTTCATCACAGAACAGAGGGCCCAGGATGGGTCTTCCAAAGGCCCTAGAGAGCGGATGGCCAGGGAAGGTAGAGCGGTCAAGACTTCTGCTGTGGCCGTGGCAAAGGCCTCCCGGATCTGGGTTCGAGCTAAGCCAGCCCACAAAAGGTACTGGGCCTGCTCCAGCAAGGCTTCTGTCAGGAGAACTACAAAGGCTGTGCCATCCCCAGTGTTCTCTGCCTGTGTTTGGGCTACTTCTCGGACAAACTGGGCAGCTGGGTGCTCTAGCTCCAGAGCCCTAAGGATGGCAGCTGCATGACCTGTACACACTGTTTCTCCCTTAGCAGTCACCAGGAACTTCTGCCGGCCATAGGGGCCAAAACAAGGCCGAATGATACTGGCTAGGGTCTGAGCTGCAGTTGTGGCCCTCAATATGCATGACTCTTCCTCTCCTGAAGACTCAGGGTTTTTCTCCAGGCTTGGCGCCAGCCTCTGTGGCAGTTCTAGAGCTGAAGGGACTTTGCTTGGCTTGTCCTGGGGTGGTGGAGAGACCGCCATGGGTTAGACTCTAACCATTAGAGTCAGTAAGTACCCTTGGCCTCTCTGAAGTTGCTCCAGAAGCCAAATGCACATCACCTGCTACAGGCTGAAGCCAACCGGAAGTGGACCTCCACTTTGCGTCCAAGGATGAGTGAGGTGTAGAGAGATTAGTTCTAGATCCATCTCTAAAGTTGAGTCTGAGCCAACCAGGCTGCTGGCTCCTCTGACCCATATGAGCTAAACTTCACCTCTGATGAAGTCACAAAGTAGCAAATGGAACCAGAGACAGGGAATGAAGTCACAGAGGGACAGTTAGCATGAGGAGACCCTGATAACAGGGAACAAAAACAAATAATTCAAATACCTGTGTTGAAATTCCTAACGAAGCCTCATTGGCTGTCTCTGTTGGTTTTGAGAGGGAACTGAGGCTAGGGGTATCCCACACAGCACCAAAAAAGAAGACAAAATAATAAAACATGACACAGTTGGCTTTATCCCAGGTAGGATGGGGAATATTGTCACCAAAGAGCCAGGAAAAGGAAAGGGGAAAATATCTGAGTGGATGTAAAATTCAATGAGTAGGTCATCTTATGGAGAGAAAAACTTTTTTTTTTTAAAGCATGACTGTTTTGTAAAACTAAAATCATTCTAAAAATTAAAAAGAGGCCAAGGGCCTGGAGAGGTGGTTCCTTGCTCTTATGGAGGACCTGACTTTGGTTCTGGGAACCCACATCTAGCATCTAGTGGCTAACAACTGCCTCTAATTCCAGCTCCAATGGATCTAATAATATCTTTGGAAAGACTCAAAGAGGGCACCTGCAGATGACATGTGCACATATCTCCACACAGACACACACAAATACACAGAACTTAACAAATAAATATTGTAAAATGGAAAGAAGCCAGATTTGGTGGCTCACACTTGTAATCCCATCAACTCAGTGGGGTGAGGCAGGAGGATTGCAAATCCAGGGTCAGCCAAGGCTGTCTTTCTCTTTTTAATTAATTATTTATTTATTTAGGGATAGGCTCTCATTAGGTATCATGGCTAGACTGGAACTGGTTAGCCATGAATTCACAGAGAGTTACCTGCCTGGCTCTCCGGAGTGCTGGTCTATATTTCAATACCTGCCTTACAAACAAACAAACAAACAAACAACAAAAGAAATGACACAAACAAAAAGAAAACAAAAAATGCCCAGTGCTTAGGAAATAAAGGTCATTTAGAAACCCCACCTAGATGTAACTATCATTTATTTTTTCCCTTGTGACAGGGTCTGATGTAGGTCAGGTTGGCCTTATTCAGATTAGGTTCTTTATGTTGTTGCTGTTTTTTTTTTTTTTTTTTTTTTTCTTTTGAGATAGGGTCTTTTTACATAGTCCTGGCTGTCCTGGAACTCACTGTATAGACTAGGCTGGCCTCTATCTCACAGAGATCCAACTACATTTGCCTTCCTTGTGCTGAGATTCAAGGTGTGTCTGGCTTATGTTATTTGTTCTTTTACTGTCAACTTGATAACAACCTGCAGTTATCTAGAGAGAGTAAGACTCAGAGGAAGAATTGCCTAGATCAGACTTTTCTATGGCAATGTCTGTGAGATATCATCTTTAATTGATGATGACTGGGGGTGGGAGATGTGTAGCCCTTTATGGGCAACACCATCCCTATACTGGTGGGCATGGGTTATCTAAGAAAGAAAACAGTGAGCTAATCAGTCAGCAACCTCACTGTGTATGCTTCAGTTATTTGCTTGAGTTCCTTCCCTGACTTTCCTCAATGTTGGATTGTGACCTGGAAGTATAAGCCAAATAAACCTCTTCCTTCTGAAGTTGTTTTTGGTCAGAGTGTTTTATCACAGCAACAAAAAAAAGCAGACTAGAACAGCCTGGAACTCTAGGTTCTCCTACATCAACCGTCGAGCACTGGGATTATAGATAGGTATCACCACGCCTCACCACAATTAGCTAGGTTGTTTTCTCCTTACATTTATTCATTTATGTTTTCGATTTATTTATTTAGTTAGTTAGTTATTTCCGAGATAGGATTTCTCTGTGTAGCCTCAGCTGTCCTGGAACTCACTCTGTAGACTAGTTTGGCCTCGAACTCACAGAGATCTGCCTCCCTCTGCCTCCTGAGTACTAGGATTAAAGTTATACACCACCACTGTCTAGCTTACATTTATATTTTTATTTTGTGTCTGTGTGTGTGAAGATCAGAGCACAACGTGTGAGAGTTGGTTTTCTCCTTTACCCATGTGGGACATGGGTATTACACTCAGGTCATCAGACCTGGTGGCAAGCCTTTTACCCACTGAACCAGCATTCAGGTTCTAACTGATTTTGTTTGTTTGTTTTTGTTTTTCAAGATGGTTTCTCTGTATCGTTGGAGCCTGTTCTGGAACTCATTCTGTAGATCAGGCTGGCCTGGAACTCACAGAGATCTGCCTGCCTCTGCCTCCTGAGTGCTGGAATCAAAGGCATGGACCACCACCCCTCAGCTGATTATTTTAAGATAAGGTCTCAAACTGTAGGCAAGGCTGGCCTGGAAAACTTGGCATTCCTGCTTTTGAGCAGCTAGGCCCACCCAGCTCATTGTCACAGTCCCCTCCTCACCCTCTTTCTTGTTTGAGACAGTCCAAGATGATCTGGAGCTTCTGCTCATCTTACTTCCACCTCCTGCTGGTGTCTTATCCAGGGCTTCATGAGTGCCAAGCAAGTACTGTACCACCTGGACTTTGACCCCATCCTCATGGTCTGCTTCATGAACACTGCTGCTTTATGAATAGTATATGCATGAATAATGATAGTCATACAATTTTACAAAAATGGATTATATAAACATTACATGTACCTTTTTTGGCAATCCTTTTCCTTTCAACATTATCTTAGGTCAAAGAATGTTTCTAAGGAGATATTATCCGAAGACTGTGAACAACTTTTTTGTTTCTTTGTAAACAGGGGAGAGCTTGAACATAATCCCCCATTATTACAAATAAGTTTCCTGAATTTGGGCAAGTCCCAGGATTCAGCATATCTCCAGTGAAATGGAGGAGCCTCACTCAGGAGATACTTGAGATCATGTATCTTCCCCTGCCAGGTAAGTATGACAACTTTTTAAACAGGTCCAACAGTGTCAGATCCCCTTGGATCTGAGTTACCGGTAGTTGCAAGCTGCCTGATGCAGGTGCTGGGACTTGCTCTTGACCATCTCTGCAGCCCTGTTTTCCTCTCTTTAAAACAAATATGCAAATACCTGGGACTGGACAGATGGTTCAACAGTTAATGACACTTGTTGCTCTTATAGAGGACTGGTTGTGTTCCTAGCACCCACGTGGCTGCTCACAACTGTCTCTAACTCCAATTTCAGGGGATCCCATGTCCAGACATGTGTAGGCAAAACCTACATCATAAAATAAAAATTATTTTTTTCCTTCTTTCTTCTCTCTTTCTCTAAATTTTGACAAAGTCTCATATAGCGCAGGCCTCCAACTTGTTAGTTAGGTAGTTGAAGATAATCTTAAACTTCTAATCTCTTGCCTCTAACTCCAAAGTCTCCAAAGTACTGGGTTATAGGAATATACAAGCATGCCCAGTTTAGTTTTTTTTTTTTTTGTCAAAAATGCATGTCATCAGGTTTGGTTGAAAGTCCCTTTACCCACTGGGCTATTCTATCACCTCAGACCCCAGCTTCTTAAACTATGGATTATGACCTCACATGGGATCATGTCACAGAAGATGGCGAGAGTAACAATTTCTGAGCTACAACTGAAATCAACTGAAAGTGAAAGGACTGGGCTGGAGAGTTAGCCGGCTGCCCTTCCAAGAGTTAATTTTCCTGATACCACATAGCAGCTCACAACTGTTCCAGAGGATTCTATGCCCTCTTCTGACCTCCTCAGGCACCCACATGGTGCACATACATATATGCAGGCAAAATACTCATACAGATAAAATAATAAGTTAAATCTTAAATAAGAACCAAGATTAGTTCACTCTGATCTTATTTGAAAAAGAAACAAGGGTAGTGGGTAGAGAGATGGCTCATCAGTTAAGAGCACTGGCTGTTCTTCCAGAGAACCTAGGTTCAATTTTCAGCACCCTCATGGGAGCTCACAACCATCTATAACTCCAGTTCCAAAGGCTCTGACACCCTCTTTTGGCTTATGCAGGCAAAACTCCAATACTCATAAAAAATTTAAATTAAGAAAGAATATTAAAAAATATCAAAGGGCAATGAACTCAAGGCAAAACACACACACACACACACACACACACACACACACACACACACACACGGGTGCCAGTGTCTACAGAGGTCCAAAAATGGTATTGGATTGATCTCCGATCTCCTTGGGATGGGGTTACTAGCAGTTGTTGGCTGCTTGATGTGGTACTGGGAATTGAACTCCAGTCCTCTGGAAGAGCAGCAAGTATTTTTAGCTGCTGAGCCATACCTCCAGTCCCCAGTCATTTCTGACAGCTCCATATCTGGCAGTTTCTCTGCAGCCTGGCTTTTGAACATAGAACATGCTTGTGACTATAATGCCACAGCTTTGGAAGCAGACTGAAACATTTCATACTGGGCTCTATAGTATGTAATAAAATGCAGTTTTTTTTTTTTTTTTTTTTCTTTTTTTTTTTTTTTTTTTTTTTTTTTTTTGATACAGGGTTTTTCTGTTTCCCCATATAGCTTTGGAGCCTGTCCTGGAACTCACTCTGTAGACCAGGCTGGTCTTGAACTCACTGAGATTCACCTGCCTCTGCCTCCCGAGTGCTGGCAAGTTCCACCACTGCCTAGCCAAGTTGCAGTATTTTTGTTTGACTTTTTGACACAGGGTTTTTCTGTGTATCCCCAGCTGTCCTGGAACTAGCTCTGTAGACCAGGCTAGACTTGAACTCACAGATATATACCTTGCCTTTGCCTCCCTAGTGCTGGGATTAAAGGCAAGTGCCACCACTGCCCGGCACAGTATTTTTACTGTACAGTTTTCTGCTCTTGTAAACAAATGGTTTAATTACAGCAAAGAAAGATGTCTATCA